GGAGTAGCGCACTGTGTTTTTTATTGTTAAACTACACTGTTGTTTTCGATTTTCTAAAAAGAAGAGAGAAAATTGCACAACATCACCATCTCTGCAACAAATCACAGCTATTACCTACGTATCGGAGATAAATCTTCTATAACTAATGTTATCTTTGATGTTCTCTGTAGCGGCTGAGATCGAGAAGCTGGTGCTATCATGTGGTACTTTTTCACTCCAATGAACATATCGAAATCAGATCGGTTTTAGTGTTTATATCTTATAAATTTAAAAGATGCTGGATACGATAGCAAAAATCCATATTTGTCTTATTACTTATTTTCGACTGTCAACTTACGAATTTCTCATATATATAGCTTAATCATTGCTACATATGACTGCGAAATCATCATGTATCTCTCTTATTAAGCGAATTATTTATTAAACATCAATTTCCTTTGTTTTTTATCAAAGGAAATTGATACAAAGCTAAAACACCTATTATTTGTGTTTAGTGTATTAAAAAATATATTAACTTCGACTAAAAAAATATATTTTTGCAAAGAAACACAGTTAATATGAGATACGGAAATACTGCATCGAGCAAATCTTGTTTAGATACATTGATGTAAACATTATGCATTCATCAGTATTATGAGCTCTTCTATATGAGAGTACCAGAAGAGCGAACATGCCTTATATCATTTACCATCAAAAGGGAAAATATCTCAATGTGTCAACATCAATTCAGTAAAAAGATATTTTTATTTTATAATATTTTTGGAGTCAGGGAAATCTCATGATTTCCGACTTTGTTCTTTGATTAAGTCGTCCAACGTAACTAAAAAAAGCAACTAATTCTTTCCTTCGTTCAAGTCTTGAAAAGAGAATCAAAAGGATGAGTCTGTTTTGGAATACTTTGAATATCAGTATGTGTCAATAAAATCAAACTTCATCACGGTTGTTCTTCTTCTATTATTTGATTCGATACTTTTTTAAATTGTATAATAAACAATGGTAAAATCTGTGCTGACTTAAACAAAATAATTTCTTTACCTTCCGGTGACACATGTGAATGGTAACCACGTTCACATTTTTACCATATTTGTCGTGTCCTTTCTTAACTGTGTACGATTTACCTGATGTTATACAGCTCATCATAATCTGATTTGATCCCTGTTTATATTTTTCCGAATACTGTATTGCATAATCAGCAGCAAAACCATGATAAATACCATTGCCAAAGAAGCCCGGATCCAATACTTCAACATTGTCGGGTAATTCTTGAGGAAGTTTGAAACCAGTTTTCGATATTTGTTGTAGACATTCAGGGGCTGAACCATGATAGACATAGAATGGAAGACGATCTTCATTAATGTCTGCTCGTATCGACTCAAATTGTTCTTCAAGTTTCGAATTTCGAATTATGAAAAGATTTGTTATACGATATTGTTGAACGCCGAATAGACTGTTGAAAAAATTCGATTCGACTTCTTTCCACCAATATGAATGTGGAACAATTTCGTCTACCGAATATTCTATCAAGGGTTCAATTAGGTTTAACCAATGTTTTCTATGTACAAAACTTACGGTTTCACTCGACGGATTATATAGCTGAACAGATTGTTGTATTTGTTTCAACTGTTTATAATTACATTGATGAACAAGAGAAATTAATACTTTGAGCAAATAAAATTGCTGAAAATTTGATGCTGAATTCAATAACATGTAACATGAGATCGAGATATTGAGGATTTTGTTCATATTCTATACGCTGAAGCAGGCTTCTTTCCCGTACGACCGAAATTGTTTTTGTTTTAACCATAACTCAGCAGAAGAATGGTGTTTCAGCAAACGGTTTTCACCAAAATGTTGCGCATTCCCTGAAGTATATTTTTCGGAAAAAAATCTAGATTATTTACCGTTTTTAAGGTAAAGTTGACGTGGTCAACATGTAAACGCTGTACATCGGCA